TGTAACGTGATATTTCATGCAGGAAAAAAACTGCCAATTACAAAGAATACAAGTTAGACATCTGCCATACTTTGTTTTATATTTTATGTGTTCAGTACAAATTCACAGTTCTCACACAAAACAATATTTAATGTTTCCAAACCTGTGTGTAGCTGCTGACCAGACTGTTGACACTAGAGCAGCGACTGGGTGGTTTCCAGACATGGGGCGAGACGGCTGATCCCAGAGTCCTTCTGCACGAGTAAAACACCCATATTAAGAAAGTCATTTGATTTACTCAGTGGTTCATTTGGTAACTAACTACGTCAACAACATGCACTTTCTTTTGATGAAAAAAAGTACTTATTAAACTATTAAGTACATTAGTACGTATTATAAGGTTTTGTTTGAACGTTAAAGAACCATTTGCTTTAGTAATTTACTTAAATAGGTAATCAGCATCCTGGTCTATATAAATATAGTAACAAACGTTTTTTTTTTTTTTTTTTTTGCTTCACAATAAAAGTTTATTGTAATTATTATTATTATTATTATTATTATTATTATTATTATTATTATTATTATAAATGGTGGAAACAGTTGTGCCACTCAATACATTTGTGGATTTTTTTAATAATTCAAGAAAAAATTTAGCTGGATTTGTTGTTACTTACTTTTTAAATTTGTATTGATTTTTATTAACATATGAACAAATGTGTTATAAAAACATTGTTCACCAATTTGAGAAATCTGCAAAACTCAACTGGTTAGACCTGTCAACACTATGACATTACTTTTGTGATATAATTGGCCTGAATCCGATGATTTACCTTGCAAATGTGGGCCACTGAGAGTCCAGGTCGTAACCTCGGGATGCTACATCAAACTGAACCTCATTGAGTTCATACAGGTGGTTGATGATATCAATATTCAGATGGGACTTCAGGAATGGACTGCGCTCATAATACCATTCACTGTGAATGGAAAACAAATATCACTGACCCCTCATAAACAAGACGCAAATTCACAGAATGGTTATTTATAACATATACTGATGAGATATACACTCACTGTTTATTTTATTAGGTACACCTGTCCAACTGCTTGTTAACACAAATTTCTTATCAGCCAATCGCACTGCAGCAACTCAATATATTTATTCATGCAGACATTGTCTAGACCAGGGGTCACTAAACTTGTACCTGGAGGTCCGGTGCCCTGCAGGGTTTAGCTCCAACTTGCCTCAACACACCTGCCGGGGTGTTTCAAGTATACCTAGTAAGACCTTGATAAGCTCATTCAGGTGTGTTTGATTAGGGTTGGAGCAAAAGTCTGCAGGACACCGGACCTCCAGGAACAACTTTGGTGATCCCTAGTCTAGACGATCTTCTGCAGTTCAAATCGAGCATCAGAATGGGGAAAAAAAGGTGATTTAAGTGACTTTAAACGTGGCATGGTCGTTATTGTCAGATGAACTGGCCTGAGTGTTTCAGAAACTGGTGATCTACTGGGATTTTTACGTACAACCATCTCTAGAGTTTTGCGCAATGCGATAATGTCAATATGGACCAAAATCTTTGAGGAATATTTCCAGTACCTTATTGAATCTATGCCACGATTAAGGCAGTTCTGAAGGGGGACCAACCCGGTAATAGTAAGGTGTACCTAATAAAGTGGCCAGCAAGAGTACACTGTGTATAGATCACTGAACTTAGGTGAAGTCATTGCACTTTTACACTGTAGACTGTATCAAAGCATCTTAAAGGGACAGTTCAGACCCAAATTTAAATATCCTCAGTATTTACTCAAGTGCTTCTAAAGTTTATTAGAAGTTAAGTTTTTAAGTTATTAAGTTTATTTATTCTGCTGAACATAAAACAAGATATTCTGAAGAATGTTGGAAACCAGCAACCTTTGACATCCATAGTAGGATCAGAAAATACCATGAAAGTCAACAGATATTTTTTTGCAGCATCTTGTTTTTTGTTCAACAGAAGAAAGAGGTTTGGAACAAGAGGAAGATGAGTAAATTATGTAATTTTTTTTGGTGAACTATCTCTTTAACACATGAAGAAAACAAGCCATAGAGGAAGAATTAGTTTTGTGAAGAAGAAGCCATAACATTATTGCAAATCAATTTAACTTGACCTGTAGTCTGTATTTCAATTTAAAAAATAAATAATTCATTGACAATTCATGCAAGCATGCTACTTTAAGACAGGAAGTGTATATTTTAGGAGAAATGAAAGCAGTTAGAGGAATAGAAATTTATTGTGTGGAAAAGTCAGAATCAACACTTTCACATCTTGTACTGTAAAAACAATTGATTTGCAAAATAGTCGCATTATTGATTACAAATTTGTACATATAAAAGTGTGCACTAAAGCATTAAAGCAGAAGTTATAGACTTACTCATTTTGTTGTTACGCATACAATGCATCCGGAAAGTATTCATAGCGCCTCACTTTTTCCACAGTTTTTATGTTACAGCCTTATTCCAAAATGGATTAAAATCATTTATTTCTTCAAAATTCTACACACAATACCCCTTAATGACAATGTGAAAAAAAGAGTTTTTAAAATTGTTGCAAACTACTAAAAATAAAAAGCTGAAAAATCACGTACATCAGTATTCACAGCTTTTGCCGTTAAGCTTTAAATTGAGCTCAGGTACATTCTGTTTCCACTGATCATTCTTGAGATGCTTCAGCAGCTTCATTGGAGTTTACCTGTTGTAAATTCAGTTGATTGGACATGATTTGAAAAGGCATACACCTGTCTATATAAGGTCCCAGGGTTGACAGTGCATGACAAAGCACAAACCAAGCATGAAGACAAAGGAATTGTCTGTAGATATCCAAGACAGAATTGTTTTGAGGCACAAGGCTGGGGAAGGTTACAGAAAAATGTCTGCTGCTCGGAAAGTTCCAATGAGCACAGCGGCCTCCATCATCCATAAGTTGAAGATGTTTGGAACCATCAGGATTCTTCCTAGAGCTGGCCGGCCATCTAAGCTGAGTCATCGGGGGAGAAGGGTCTTAGTCAGGGAGGTGATCAATAACCCGATGGTCACTCTGTCTGAGCTCCAGTGTTCTTCTGTGGAGAGAGGAGAACCTTACAGAAGGACAACAATCTGCACCGCTCATCACCAGGCTAATACCATCCCTAGAGTGAAGCATGGTGGTGGGAGCAGGAACTGGAAGACTAGTCAGGATAGAGGGAAAGATGAATGCAGCAATTTACAGAAACACCCTGGATGAAAACCTGCTTCAGTGCTCTTGACCTCAGACTGGGGTGACGCTTTATCTTCCAGCAGGACAATAGCTCAAAGCACACTGCCAAAATATCGATAGCGTGGCTTCACAACAACTCGTTGAATGTCCTTGAGTGGCCCAGGCAGAGCCCAGACCTAAATCCTATTGAACATCTTTGGAGAGATTTGAAAATGACTATAGACCGTCGCTTCCCATCCAACCTGATAGAGCTTGAGAGGTTCTGCACAGAGGAATGAGCAAAAATTCCCTAAGACAGGTGTGCCAAGCTTGTGGCATCATATTCAAAAAGACTTGAGGCTGTAATTGCTGCCAAAGGTGCATCAACAAATGATTGAGCAAAGGCTGTGAATACTTATGTACATGTGATTTTTCAGGTTTTAAATTTTTTATAAATTTGCAACGATTTAAAAAACTCTTTTTTCACTTTGTCATTATGGGGTATATTGTGTGTAGAATTTGGAAGAAATTAATGAATTTAATCCACTTTGGAATAAGGCTGTAACATAAAAACATGTGGAAAAAGTGAAGCGCTATGAATACTTTCCAGGTGCACTGTATTATGCTCATTTGGCCATGATGTGTCAGGGTTTGTTTTATACTATATTGTACACAACTTGATAAAGCAAAAATCATAGACTTCTCTTTTCCCACATGCTTTTTCATGTGAATTTGAAACCAAACTTGAGCAAGTGAAATGTGGTTGTGCTTTCTGCTGAAATAGTTGTTTATGGGTTTGATTCTGAGCTATACTTCCTTCACACATTGTAATTATTGTAATTATATATATATATAATACTGTCATACTACTACTTTCAATCTTCATTGCTAATCATTGTAAACCAATATCATACATTGATAAAATTGCAGTTTCATCAATGCATCATCATTAAACGCACAAGTTGCAATATTCAAATTTTTGGTGATCAGATTACCTTGTGATTTTGAGGTTTATGAGACATTGCTGAAGAGTGTCTGCAAGTCTTTGATGCACCAGACAGTAACGGATGAAAGCCCGTCCTTTCCCTAACGAAGTCTTCAGCTAAAGAATAGAAGTGAAAACAAAAGTAATAGAGAAGATATGAATGCTAAAACCCGAGAACGAAATGCATTCAGGTTAGCTAAAGATAATCAACCCACGTTTCTGCATAAACCAGTAGCTTATCATTTTGTTAATCACATAACTCATGACGTCCTTATGATAATGTTTAAGCAACAACAGCAACGCAACCTGTGAACTTGTGAAATAAAATGGTGTGAACAGTATTTCACTCAGGTCATTTGTAGATTTCATTATAAATAATTACATGATAGAAATAGATTTAAATGTTAATTACAGTAATCAGTAAAATTATAGACAATCATTTGAGTTTTTAAAGGAAGCAGTTTTCTTATTTTAAATGTGCAGATTACCTACTTAAAGGGGACCTTGCATGCCCCTTTTAACAAGTAAATCATGTCCCTTAAGTGTATATGTGAAGTTTCAGCACAAAATACCACACAAATAATTTTGTAGAAGTCTTTGAAACTGCCTCTTTTAGGCTTTAATCCAAATTGTACTGTTTTTGTCACTGTGACTTTAAATTTAAATGAGATTGTACTCTTTTTAAGAGAGGGCGTAGCTACAAACAACCATAGCGGCAGATTTAACACAGGACTAATGCCTCTTAGTTGCTTACATCATTTAAGGCAGGTATGGTTTGGAAACTCTGTTGGTGAATGGCTGCTTCTTACTCAGGGCTGTCTTTGTTAATGAGGGGGAGTCGGGGCTTTCCCCCTCTGATGACATGTACAAAGAGACAATGTCAATCAAAGTGTTTATGCAGTTTGACTATAAAAAGTAGAATTAAATCATTTTTACCAGTATCGACTGGCTGTGGTTAAACAACATTTAAAAGTGATTTTTGCATAACAGGTCTTCTTTAAAGGGATCAAAAATGATTGCAAATAAAAGGTGAATATTTTATAAAAACATTCTTTATGTTTTAGAACTCAAAAGAAAAAAAGACTTATATTGAAGCCACTCTGCCAAAATGACAGGTTGAGGAATGCCTCTTCATTATGTAACAGTGTGGCTAAACCTCCAGAGAAGAACAATATTAAACCGAAACACAAAGATTTAAAAATCTGTGGAATCTAAGGGTGAAAAAATATTTAAGTATATCCTTTAAATTTGTCCAAATTAAGTTCTTAACAATGCACATTATAAATCAAAAATTAGGTTTTGATATATTTACTGTAGGACATATATTCTCTAATACTCATAAAATATATTCATGGATCATTATCTATCTTTAAAATCCGAATCAGAAAGAGCTTTATTGCCAAAATGTCAATAAATAAAAATCTTAAATATAGCTTTATTCAATATTAAATTCACTTTATATTCTTTGATCTTTGGCATAAAAGGAAAATATATCATTTTGACCCATACAAAAGCCATTTTTAAAAATATCCCCATGTAACACAAAACTAGAAGACTAGACTAAAAAAGGTCATGTCAAACGTTACCGCCTGCTGATTCGGCAAATCTATACATTGTGAAAAATCTCCCACAAATTTGTACGAATTAAGTTCTTAGCAATGCACATTACTGATCAAAAATAAGTTTTGACATATATACAAATGGACATTTGATAATTATCTTCATGAATCATGATCTTTAGGAAAAAACATTTATCAGTCTGATCAATGTCTAAAAAAAAGTCATGTTAAATGTTACCACCTGCTGATTTGGCATACTAGAACTAAAATCTCCCATGAATATGTCCAAATTAGGTCATTTTTTGATATGTTTACAGAAAAACATTTAGAAAATATCTTCATGGATCATGATCATACTGTAAATTAGAAAATTTTATTTTGTCAAAATGCCAATTAATAGGTAAATATTAAAGTAAATATTACTTTATTAAATATTAAGTGAATTAATAATCTAATGGTCTTTGACCTAAAAGAAAAATCTATAATTTTGACCCATGAAATGACCATTTTTAAAAAAATTTCCCATGCAACATGAGACATGTTTTGTGGATCAGGGTCACATTTTGCATGCGTTTCATTTTAGCAATAATAATAATAAAAAACATTTCTCGATCTGATCGATGTCAAAGAAAAAGGTCATGTTAAATATTACCACCTGACTATTCAACATACCACAAATCTAAAAAGTAAATATTTAAAGTAATTATTACTTTATTAAATATAAAATTAACCTAATAAGCTAATGATCTTTGACATAAAAAAAATCCATAATTTTGACCCACACAATGACCATTTTTTAAAATATTCCTATGCAACATAAGATTAGTTTTGTGGACCATTTATTTATTTTTAGCAATAATAATAAAACATTTCTCAGTCTGATCAAGGTCAAAACAACTTATGTTAAATGTACCGCCTGATGATTCAGCATACTAGGAATCCAAACATTGAAAAAATTGTCCAAAAATGAAGTTCTTAACAATGCACATTACTAATGAAAAATTACTTTTTGATATATTACAAATATCTTCATGTTTCATGATCTTTACAATCATAAAGAGCTTTACAGCCAAAATGGCAATTGATAAGTAAATATTAAAGCAAATAATCATTTATTAAATATTAAGTGAGCAATAAATGTACTTAATGATCTAATGATCTTTGGCATGAAAGAAAAATCTATCATTTTGACCATTTTAAAAATATTGCCCATGCATGTCCCATAAGAGTTTTGTTTGTCTTTTTAGCAAAATTAATAATAATAAAGAACATTTTCTCAGTCTGACCAATGTCATAAAAAGGTCATGTTAAATGTACTGCCTGCTGATTCGGCATACTAGAAATGAAAGGTCAAGCTGAGTTCACTGCATGGATGGATACATTATCTGCTTTGGGATGTACACTGCACATTTTGGCCAATATACTAATACATTCCATGTGTACTGGTAATCTGCATATTGTACAGTGTGTAGTGCGCGCACACACTGCATACTGAAGAATATTGCATTGAGTGGTATGGTAATATGCCATTCTAAACACAAACAATGGTCGTCTTGGGTACAGTACTGACGGGTGAGCAGATGGAGGATTACAGTGGGCGACCAAAGAGCATAAGGACAACAGATGGAAACCCTACACTACAGCTGATGCGGGATTTCTGGATTTATTCTGGATTCAAGACTCACGGAAAAGCTGCATTTCAATGGCAAAGGAATTCTGAAGAGATTTATATATGGGTGAAAGAGAAGATGTGGGAATTTGGTGTCTGCCTTAGAATAAATTTCATATACACAGAAAACACATTAAATGCAAGTCAAGTTTTGTGTAAATAAAACATCAGAAGTGTGGGTTAAATAATGTTAATGATTATTACTCTGCACCCCATATATTTTGTATCTATTGTTCAGCATTAATGAGCAAACGCCTCACACATCTCCTTCTTTTATATTTATATTTGTAACAAATGTCAATATATATATATATCAATATACTGTATGTGTGCATATGCATTAGATTAGTCAGTACTAAAGCCAAAACTGCAACTAATCTAAAAAAAAAAAAAAAACTTAAGATCACAGTGCAGAAATTTGAACACCCAAATTAATATGTTGGGGACAAAGATTAAATAAAAAAATAAAATAAAAACAGGGAGGAGAAAAGAAAATAATAAAAAAATTTGAGAGAAACAATCTACAATTTCTTTTATTTAGTTCAAACTTTGTAGACTTTTGAAAGAACTCACTTGACTTTAAATGCTTTATCTTCCTAAAGATGTTAGGTAACCAAAGTCCTTTTTTTCTGGGCATACTGTAACCAACCCCGGCTCATTCTGATCACATATCTCCCAGGAGCTTTGTTTCTTTGCAGTTTTTGTTTTCATGAATCCACCAGAGGCTTCTGTGTCACTTTTTGAGATCTCAAATTTTTCTCGCGAGTGCCATTCGCGCCTGCTGTTCTCTCATTAATCCACCGGAGCCCACTGTCGAATGACTGACTTACTGACTGACCAACCGATCGATCGATTACCCCACCCTCCCCCTTCCCTAAACCCAACCAAAAGTGTTTTAAAAAGCGCCGATTGACTTGTCCATCCTCTTTCCTTAACCCAACCACAGTGTTTTAAAAAGCAAAAGCCCCCTAATTTTTTACCACATTTTTTAGATTTTACCACATTCTCACCCTGTTATTTACTAGTTTATTTTATTTTTTAGCTTTTGTTTTTATCCTACTTGCTTTCTGGAACCGTTCCTCACCAGACTAGAACCCCATTGTTGTGGTCAACTCTGTTTTGCATCTCAAGTTTGCGTCTCAAGATGTAACAGATGTAACTGGTAACAGTTGAAAAGCCGTCCATACGAAGGTAAGCAGTCAGCTGGTTAGCACCAAAAGGAAAGGCGTCATACTGTTCTGTAGCGTTCATTTTAAACACGAAATGCAGCCATTTGTAGCTCTGGCTACATAATTTGCAATCTCCGGAAATGTATATGGGGCTACGTTTTCAGAATGAGCCTATGTTGACCATAACTGTTTAATAAAACTATTTTGTTTAAATGCACCAACATGCTAATTGCTGCTTATATTCTAAGAATTGGATAAAAATATTAATTTTCAAAAAGAGATGTACTCACTTATGCTGTGCGCTGAGTATGTTTTGAAAATGAATATTATTATTTTTTTGTAAATAAATAATATTTAAATCAATGAAAATCTTTTGAAAATACAAAAAATAAATAAATAAATACATTTAAATTCATGTGAAATATTGCAAAAAATATTACGAACTACAAAATTTCAGCAAAATTTGACATTTAATTGCACTTAATTGTTTTATTAAATACCTAACATAAGTTTGGGCTACTAATTGCTGGACTAGTATGGCAAGTTTAATTAGATTAGCTTCAGATTTGGCTATAAAAGAAGAGTTTAGATGCAAAAACATTTAAGTGTCACCTGAAATTTTCTTCTAAAGTGGGCATTTTCATCAACCTCATCTGTTTTTGTTCAGTTGTTTCACTTTAAAAAGAATAAAAGGAAACACTTCTTTCCCATGAATGTAAAACTACTGCATCTACATGAGCCTGAGAAAAATGCTTATCTTAGAATACAATTTCAGCCGGCAGAGGGTTTTGTATCTGAACTCCTTATATATAAATTTAGTGTAAGTGATCATGCTAAAATATATTCATTATTATATATGTTTTAATAAATAATTATGAGCAAACTTATTGTTTTGCTCAGAAAGAAAACGGAATTAAACATTGATAGTACTACTAGTTAGCATTAACTAAAAATATGTTACCAAATAAACAAATAAATAAATAAATAAACCATTTCTGTGAACTTCTCCAATGTTACCAAATAGTTTCTATTGTGTTTCTAATAAAAAACTGTGAAACAGTGCAACAGCCCACTTTTCCAGAACATGCCTCGTGATTTAAGGTATCATGCTAGGAGGACAAACAATGGAATAAGTTGAACAGCAAAGTTTAAATTAACCTAGAGGTTTGTCTCTCTGAAAAAATAAAAAAAGTAGTTACACATGCCTTAGTAAACTGCAATAAAAATCACAAAAAAAAGAAATAAAATCTACTGTATTGTACAATTATTTGGTTAAGAACCATATACTAATGTTTGCGAGACCCTCAACTCATTACAATAAACAATTCTGACTCAGTATTTCTGCCTTGTTTTGTAGTACAAATATCCAAACAATCTTAAATCAAGATGCAAGATTTTAAAATGGCAAAATGGCATATTAAGTGATTCTACAGGGTTTTGTTTTTGTTTTAGGAATCAAACAAAATCTGAAAACAAGGCTTTAATATCTTTAGTCATTTTCCTTTTCAAGTATGCATCCTGATTTAAGAAATTTGAAATGTTTGCATTGGAAAACAAAACAAAAATATTAAGCAAGAAAAGAATATCTTTAGTAGTAGTGCTGCTAATCGAACACCTACAACACAAAACCAACCTGAGGCTGAGCGCCACTGCTTCCTGCTCGAAACCCTCCACAGAGGTGCACACAAACAAAAAAAGACGTACGTAAAATGTCAGAAAAGCAGTGAAATGAAACTGCGAAAGAGAAATGAGAAGGTTGTCTGGAGCCACACATGCACAGGCTGGAGAGACGCGCTTCCAGCAGATGTTGGGACTCGTGTGGTGGATTACCTCAGGGATTGATTTGACAAAGCGAATGCCGTCATTAGCTCCTTTAATCTTGGCCAAGCAGTCGCAGAAATAATCCCAGTAGTCTTTCCTGCTGCCCAGAAATGTGGTCCTCTCTTTCTGGTCAAACTAGACACAATGGTCAGCAGGTTAATAATAATAATAATAATAATAATAATAATAATAATAATAATAATAATAAAGAAAATCACTCTAAACATGATTTTAGCTTGACTGTAGACATCTTTATCTACAGTAGGTCACCATAGAATGTCATGATAACACAAAAATTAACCAGTTTTAAAGACTAAATATTGTAGTAAAATAAAATTCTCAAAAAAAAAAAACTATTAAGTATTAATGGCTACTGATTTTGGCAAATAGTTCCAAAGAAAAACCAAGAAACACATCAAATTAAATAAGAAATCTTTAAGTAGAAACACTAGTGTTTTAGCAATATATTTCAATAATCCATTTTGGGTTTTTTTTTCTACTTTTTTGTAGGATAGGACAATATTCGGTCAGAAATACTTATCATCTTTTTGAAAATCTGGAATCTGAGGGTTCAAAACAATCTAAACATTGAGAAAATAGCCTTTAAAAGATGCCTAACTATGTTCTTAGCAATACAGGCAATTCATTTTTGATAGGCAGTTGAAGGCAGAATTATTAGCCCCCGTTTATTTTTTTTCCCTGATTTCTGTTTGACAAAGAGAAGATTTTTTTTTTTCAACACATTTATAAACATAATAATTTTAATAACTTATTTCTAATAACTGATTTATTTTATCTTTGCCATGATGACAGTAAATAATATTTGACTAGATATTTTTCAAGATATTTTTCAAGATACACCTTAAAGTGACATTTAAAGGCTTAACCAGGGTAATTATGTAAACTATTAGATTAACTAGGCAGGTTAGGGTAGTTAGGCAAGTCAATGTATAACAGTGGTTTGTTCTGTAGAAAATTAAAAATATATATATAGCTTAAAGAGGCTAATCATTTTAACCTTAAAATAGCTTTTAAAAAAATTAAAACATTTTTATTTTATTTTAGCTAAAATAAAACAAATAAGACTTTCTCCAGAAGAAAAAATATTTTCAGACATACTGTGAAAATTTCCTTGCTCTGTTAAACATCATTTGGGAAATAGTAAAAAAAAAAAAAAATCAAAGAGGCTAATAATTCTATTAATAGTAATTCAGTTTAAAAGCTCCTAAAATCGAGTAAGACAAAAAAACTGAGCCATACTTGCAGCAGGTACTCCAGTTTAAAACAGAACTTGTGAAGGCTGGAGCTGTCATCGGTGATGGGCTCTTCGGTGTCACAATGCTCCTTGCTCAGCTCAGAAACTGCATCTGCAAAAACATATGGACACATATGGACTTATTTGTGCAACCTTCTAAAAATGACAAGATTGATGATTTCAGTTTTTTTTCCTCAGTATTTTTATCCATGATAGCTTAAAGTTTAGTTCACAGTTATGATAAACATTAACATGAGCAGATCAACAACAGTGGAGAAGTTTTCAAATATCATCAGTACAAGAAAACCTTTGCATGGAGCTACAGTAACATGCTTGAAAAACATTACATTTTGATATCATTTTCATATTAATTATATTTTCTGTGCTGTTATAAATAATATTTATAATAATAAGTATGTGTGGAAACATTGTAGTGTCCCTTGAGTATGCTTAGTAAGGGATAGTTCACCCAAACATTTTTTTACTATTTTCTCATCCTTAATAGTTTCAAAGCATCATAAGTTTCTTTAATCTGTTTATGAACAATAAAGTAGATATTTTGAATAAACCTTTAACCATTGACTTCCATAGAAGGAAAAACAAATACTATGAAAGTCAATGGTTACAGGTTTCTTTAAAAACATTGTCCTTTGTGTTCAACAGAAGAGAGAGAGAGAGTTTTAATTTTATTGCCATTTCAGCTTCATGGCAAAAAGAAAATAGATCAAGTTTATCATGTTTTATAAATACCAACTTTCTAAAATTATAAAAATATTCAAACAATTCAAAGTCATCAACAGCAATAAATGATGCCCAAGGTAAAATACATAAATAACAATAATGATAATATAAAGATAAAAATCTAAAACAGTTTTTTAAGGTTTCCTTTTGATAAAAATTATACAATTTTAGATGGATTCACATTTAAAAATATTTCCTTTAAAGTCTCTCCAGATAAATATTGTTGTCTGATAACATTAAAAATGGGGCATTCCACGATAATATATTTAACAGTTTGGTTTCTTTTGCAATATTGACATTTTGGTGGTTCATCTCCTTTAAGTAAATGTTCATGTGCGAGTCTCGTGTGTCCAATGCAGCATCTTCTATAAACAATCTCATCGTGTCTTGACTTAAAAAATAAATTAGATTTTTTTTCCAATTTCAGGCTGAATTTCAAAAAGTTTATTTTCTGGGCACTGATCCCATTCTGTTTGCCATTTGTTAAGAATATAGCCTTTTATTAGTGGCTTTAGATCTGAAGGTGGGATTTTACACTCCTTCAGCTTTCCTGCTAGGGCTATTTTGGCGGCTTTGTCGGCTTGTTCATTCCCAAGTTGTCCGGTATGTCCTGGGATCCAGCAGAAGACTATATTATAAAACGTTCGATGTAATTCATTCACTTTGATAAAAATGTCAATGATAATGGGATGCTCCAGTTTAAAAGAATTCAATGTCTGTAGACAAGATTTAGAATCAGAAAAAATAATAAAATTGTGCTCAACAGAAGAAACTCATAATGAATTGAAACAAGACGTTTTTAAAGACCATTAGTACAAGTAAATCTGCATTTTTTAAAAATTAAATTAAATTAAACATTTTTTTTTATAATTTTCATATTAATTGTATTTTCTGTGCTGTTATAAATAATAATTATAATAACGAGGATTTGTGGAAATGTTGTAGTGTGTAAAATTTACACACTATTTTCACACCCTCAAGTGGCTCCAAACCTTTATGAGCTTCACTATTCTGTTGACAGTAACGAAGATATTTCAAAGAATGCTGAAAACCTGTAAATATTGATTTCATAGTAGGAAAAACAAATACTATGGAAGTCAGTGGTTACAGGTTTCTTCAAAAATACCATCCTTTGTGTTCAACAGAGGAAAGAAACTCATAAAGGATTGAAACAAGAAGTTTTCAAAGATCATTAGTACAAGTAAATCTGCACATGGAGCTAACATGCATGAAAAACATCTGATTACATTTCCTGTACTGTTGTAATTAATAATAATGGAGTATGTGTGGAAATATTGTAGTGTCCCCAGAATATGCCTAGTGAGAGATAGTTCACCCAAAAATGAAATTGTACACACTATTTTCTCACCCTTAAGTGGTTCCAAACATTTATGAGCTTCTTTATTCTGGTGGTGAACAGTAAAGCAGATATTTTGAATAAACCTGTAACTATTGATTTCATAGTAGGAAAAACAAATACTATGGAAGTCAATAATTAAAGGTTTATTAAAAATACCATCCTTTGTGTTCAACAGAAGAAAGAAACTTATAAAGAAATGAAACAAGAAGTTTTCACAGATCATTAGTACAAGTAAATCTGCTAGTGATGGGTCGTTCATGAACGTTTCGTTCATTTTGATTGAATCTTCAATGACTCGGGAACTACAAGTCCCCTCAGGGAGTGATTCGTTCATCCGCACGTGCGCATATTTGTGCAGGTGGTACCGTTCATTTCAAGTCTTTTGAGTTGTTCATCACGGAAAGGCAGAACCCAATCATATGCGTTTAGAGCCGGAAAAAGAATTGAACCGTTCATCTCTCGAGTCCTCTATCGGGTCTGAGTCATTCGTTCATCATGGGCCAATCATATGCGTTTAGAGCCGGAAAAAGAATTGAACCGTTCATCTCTCGAGTCCTCTATCGGGTCTGAGTCATTCGTTCATCATGGGCCAATCATATGCGTTTAGAGCCGGAAAAAGAATTGAACCGTTCATCTCTCGAGTCCTCTATCGGGTCTGAGTCATTCTGTCACGTGATGAAAGGTGAACTAATTCTCATGGCTCCTATCAACTCAGACTGTGTACATTGGTTAAGATTATATGTGACTGTCAGTGTAATGTGAATGAACCAGAGTTGAGCTGAGCAAAGGCACAACAATACCTTCATAGACAAAACAGCAGGTAAACATTGAATTATTATTTTCTCCTTCTTACAGTATTCTACTTATGACTTATTTGTCGTGTGATCAACATTTTGGGCTAGTTGTAGATGTGTTTGGAAGCAATTCGTAAAATTTTATTTAATATTTTGGAAAATTGAACCAAATGAACAAAATAACTCGAAAAAAGATTCCTTCAACTCAATGAACGAGACTCAAAGATCCGAGTAAGTAAAATGATCCGAACTTCCCATCACTAAAATCTGCACATGGAGATAACGTGCTTGAAAAATATTTATGATTACATTTCCTGTACTGCTGTAATTAATAATAATGGAGTATATGTGGAAATATTGTAGTGTCCCTAGAATATGCTTAGTAAAGGATAGTTCACCCAAAAATGAAAATTGACACTATTTTCTCACCCTCAAGTGGCTCCAAATATTTATGAGCTTCTTTATTCTGTTTATGAACAGTAAACAGCATATTTTAAAAAATGCTAAAAACCTGTAACCATTGATTTCATAGTAGGAAAAACAAACACCAAAGAAGTTAAAGGTTACAGGTTTCTTCGAAAACATCGTCCTCTGTGTTCAATAGAAAAAAGAAACTCACAAGGAATTGAAACAAGAAGTTTTTAAAGATCATTAGTACAAGTAAATCTGCACATGGAGCTAACATGCTTGAAAAACATCTACGATTACATTTCCTGTACTGTTATAATAATAATCATGAGTATCTGTGGAAAAATTGCAGTGTGCCAAGAATATGCTTAGTAAGTAAGAGACACAAAAATGAAAATGTAAACACTATTTTCTCACCACAGAGAAGTTGCAAACCTTTATGAGTTTCCTTATTCTGTTGATGAACAGTAAAGAAGATATTTTAAATAAACCTGTAACCACTGACTTCCATAGTAGGAAAAACAAATACTATGAAAGTCAATAGTTACAGGTTTCTTCAAAAGTATCATCCTTTGTGTTTAACAGAAGAAAGAAACTCAAAGAATTAAAACTAGTAAATGATGACCAAATTTTCATTTTTGAGTGAACTATCCCTTTAATTCCCCGCTTCAAGAGACACACACAAGCAAAAATACATCATGCATGTGGATGAGAAAGATTTTACCATGCAGATCTCTGATGATCCTCTGAAGCTGGTTTTCTCCGACTGTGCTCATTATGGACTGAATGTTAGTGTTGATAGATCATAAAGTTTACATTATGCCTGTAAAACAAAGCCAACATAAAAAACAAGGTTACACTAAAAGAATAAAGACAACAATAAAGTAGTAAATCTCAAAATGCTTATGATCTCTTAAGGCGTCATAAAAGGTCATATTTTTACAATTTACAAGTTTGAGCTAACCTTTTTCTGCATAATATACAAACTACATTACTATGCTCCTATAAACGCGTGCTGTTTGATGACATTTTGCTGAAGGTAACATTAGATTAAGGTAACACTTTACAATAAGGTTGTATTAGTCAAGGCATTTACTAACATGAACAAACAATGAACAATACATTTATCACAGCATATGGTCATGTAAGTTAATGAAAATAAAGTTGTGTAGTAGTTCATGCTAACTAATGTTAACAAACGTGAATTTAGATGTTAATTATGAATCAGTAAGTATTGATCTATGACTGATAACTGCTGTTCAAGTGTTGTTCATTATTAGTTCGTGTTAGTAAATACATTACAAATGAAACCTTATTGTAAAGTGTGACCTATTAAAGTACTGAGGTTCTACTTTTGTTTTTAAACGTGAGGAAATGTACACCCAAAAATTCAAAACACCTTAAATAATATATTGCAATCATCTTAATTATGAAACATAACCTACAAACCTTACCTTTAATATTTAAATGAGACCGGGGAGACAAACGCACCTGCTGAAGTTTACAACTTCTCAACAGCGTTCGGCGTTTTAGTCATATTTCTGCCCTTTGCTTTATTGTAATGACACATACATGTATAAAAGACAAACAGACGTAAAAACCGATAAACAGACGTGAATAAAGACATACTTTATACAGATAGATGATCTTTTCCTCATCGATTATTTACAGTAGATAAAATCCTGACCTGCTGCCATCTCATGGGGCGGTTACTAAAATTGACGGATAGCGGGCTAATCCAATCAGAGGCGACTACGTAATAGTGCAGTTTGGTTGCGCGGTAAAAAAAAAAAAAAAAAAAGTAATGTAAACAAACACGTCAGATTGCATGAGTGGTTGATGAAAAAATAATGTAATACCTGCGCTTGACTATAACATTGTAAAATTTGGCATTTTTATGAAAAACAAAGAAATTGAATTTCTGTGTAATAATATGTTGATTATGGCAAAATTTTATATTCACAAATGTAGGTTTGTTAAAGTTTCTCCTTGTTTCAAAGCATTTAAAAATTATTTCAACCTTTTATATAAACCTAAAAAACAGGTAAAAACAAAAGGTGCCTTAAAGCTCTAAGCTTTTGTCAACGTATATGGACTGACCCCCTTGAATGTAATGTATTTTCTTTTGTATTATTTAAGCTTTATTTATCTTATTTATTTATTTATTTTTGTACTGTTTTGTTTATTATATGCTGCTTGGATATATTGTTATATATGTTTAAGAATGGAAGTTGAAAATGCCTGTTTCTTATTTGAAGTTTAAATAAAAAAGTAATGTAAACAAACACGTCATGTGATTAATCGCAATAACCAAAACACAGACACCACACATTTTTTTCAGATGTTAACAAATGTATGTTAAAGTATAACATCTGTTAAATGTCATGAATAAATGTCTTTTATTAACGGGAAGAAACATTAAATCAATTTCAATAGCCATCCATTTAAGTTTCACATGCAGTCATCGGCCACTTTATTAGGTACACCATACTAGTACGGCGTCGGGTCCCTTTTTTCCTTCAGAACTGCCTTAATCCTTCGTGGCATAGATTCAAGGAGGTCCTGGAAACATTCCTCTGATTTTTTGGTCTATATTGACATGATAGCATCACACAGTTGCTGCAGATTTGTCGGCTGCACATTCATGATGCAAATCTCCCGTTCCATGGTCAGCAAAAATACTCAGGTAGGCTGTGGTGTTGACACGATGGTCAATTGGTACTAATGGGCTCAAAGTGTGCCAAGAAAATATCCCCCACACCATTGCACCACCACCACCCACCTGAACTTTGATACAAGGCAGGATGCATCCATGTTGTTGACGAACTCTGAATTCTGAACCTACCATCCGAATGTCGCAGCAGAAATGGAGACTCATCAGACAAGGCAAAGTTTTTCCAATCTTCTATTGTCCAATTTTGGTGAGCCTGTGCGAATTGTAGCCTCAGTTTCCTGTTCTTAGTTGACAGTAGTGACACCCGGTGTTGTCTTCTGCTGTTTTAGCCCATCCGGCTCAAGGTTGGACGTGTTGTACATTCAGAGTGTAAAGAGTGATTATTTGAGTTACTGTTGCCTTTTGAGTAACTGTTGCCTAACCTCTGGCATCAACAAAGCATTTGCACCCACAGAACTGCCGCTCACTGGATATTTTCTCTTTTTCGGATGAATAAGTTTATTTATGTGGTCATATTTCACATTGAAGGTTCTTGAGATAGTGTTGATGCATAAAGAGTCTCAAAATCTAGAACGTCTCATTTTTACATTACAATCAAATATTTAATGCATACACTTTAATTGATATTTCTTATTTCAAATGCTTTTGAAATCAGGCCTCTCTCATAGATCATAAATGAAAATCTATGAGGGAACAGAAACACGCACATGAGCCTGCTGGGTTTTTGCGTTTCATGAGGAATCAAACAAAAATGATTTGAGTGAGGGGTGGGGGGTTGTACCTATTTCTCACACCGTAATAGGATGCATTGTACATTTACTGCAGTTTCATAGTTTTCAGGTTTCAATCTTCGCTCAGCCTTTGATTACCGGTTTCCATTAACATTTTCTCTGGAGATTTTTATAAAAGGTAAGAGAGAAAACAAAACACGTCTTTCGCTGAGATATGTTGCACCATATTGTATGAGATACATGTTTTTAACTGTACGCTTCTCTATGGCTTCAACACTGAAGACATGTTCTCTGAAGATTATCGCAATGCTCTCTCAAAGTTCTGCAAAGGATGCTCATGTTGATTCAAATTTCAATTCAATTGTTATGCAATACAATGTTATCTACAGTACAATTCATTCAAGGAACTTGTTTTCTGAAACATGGATGTCCATTTAATGATTTGTTTTTTATTACTAACTGTGCATATATTATAAATGTTATTAACTAAATGTAAATAACTAACTTTGGCCTACAGACACTAGTTTAGGCATCTCTGATCTATACAGATCTGTTATGAAATTGATGTTTCTTTAATAACCAGGTCCATGTTTTACACCTTCCAGGCTTTTGGTTGAATATCTCTTTTTTAAATTGTGCATCAGGATGGATCTCCAAACAGTGACTCCAAAACAGAATGAAAACTCGACTTATGATTACAATGACGATTACACTGATGAAGCCTGTAATAAGATGAATGTTATCCAGTTTGGGACGATCGTCTCTCCGATCATTTTCACCATTGTGGTTATGTTCAGCTGTGTAGGAAACATTTTGGTTTTGTGCGTCCTCGTGAAATATGAAAATCTGCGATCCCTCACCAACACGTTCCTGCTAAATCTAGCCATCTCTGATCTGATTTTCACTGTCGGGTTGCCGTTCTGGGCCTACTACTATGTCAACGGCTGGACTCTTGGAGATCACGCTTGCAAAGCGGTTAATTACGTTTTTTATACGGGATATTACAGCAGCATCATATTCATGACGGTTTTAACCATACACCGATACGTGGCTGTGGTCCACCCTCTGTCAGTGGTGATGTCCAGAAAGAGCATCCACTGCTACGCCACGTCAATTGTGGTCTGGATCATCAGTTTATCCGCTGCCATCCCACAAGCCATGTTCAAAACGGTTGTGAGAAACCCTATTGACACTCAAAGCGAAGCCTCTGATGTAATCAAGCTCTGTGATTTCGATGGTCAAATCAACTGGAAGCTCTGGAGCACGTACTTACAGAATGGCTTCTTCATTGTGGCTTTCCTGATCATCGCCTTCTGCTACACCGTGATTCTGACCCGGCTGCTTCGGCCGACGTCTCACACTCGCAAGAAGACCGTGCACCTCATCTTCTTCATCGTGCTGTTTTTTTTCTTGGGATGGGGGCCGTTTAACGTGGCCATATTTCTGGACTCGCTGATTTCGTGGGGGATCTCTCCTTTTAACGAATGTGAGGTCAGTAAGTCAATCGACTACTTGATGTACGTCTCTCAGATGGTGGCGTACTCACACTGCTGTCTGAATCCAGTGGTTTACGTTTTTATGGGGATAAAGTTCAGAAACCACTTGAAGAAAATGCTGTGGACTTTGTGTAAGAACAACGTGGAGCCTCCGAATCGAAACAGCAGGATTATTTACTCCAACGGCGAAGAAATATCCATGTATTAGACCAGGGGTGCTCAATCCTGTTCCTGGAGATCTACCTTCCTGTACAGTTTAGCTCCTACCCTGATCAAACCCACCTGAACCAATTAATTAGGACCTGCAATCCACTTGATAATTACAGACAGGTGTGTTTGATAAGGGTTGCAACTGAAATCTGCAGGAAGGTAGATCTCCAGGAACAGGATTGGCCACCCCTGTATTAGACATTCCTGTTGTTAAAGGGGTAGTTCACACAAAATTTTAAATTTGGTCATCATTCTCAACCTTCACTTGCAACAAAGCTCTTCTGTTAAAGAAGATATTTCCAAAAATGCTGGAAACCTGTAACCATTGACTTCTATAGTATTTGTTTTAGGGATGTCAGTAGTTACAAGCTTCTAACATTTTTCAACACATTTTCTTTTGTGTTCAACAGAAGATAGAAACTCAAACAGGTTTGGATGTCATGTTTTATAAATATCAATGATTACAGGTTTCTACCAATTTCAAAATATCTTCTTTAGTGTTAAACAGACAAATTAAACTCTTAAAGGATTGAAACCACTTGAGGACGAGTAAATAAAGAGATAGTTCACCCAAAACTGATCTGTCATCATCATTTACTCATCCTTCAGCTGGTTTGAATGTTATCACTGGATTGAATGGGCATCAGTGGTTATCAGCTGATAGATATGGGCCAGTAGGGGTTTCTGCACCTACTGTTAAGCTCAGAAGGTTGTTATCATCCATCCACATGGTTATTCATCTATAGATCACATAACACTGCGGTCGTAAATTAACAAGAATTATTTATATTATATATAAAATTTTCCATTAATTGTATTTTATTAATGTCTACCCCTACTACAACCCTAAACCCAACCGTCATAGTAATGTAAAAACAGATCAGGATCTGGAGTCTTCTTTATAGAGTGGAGAAACTATAACGTCAATTTGTATACAAAAAAACGGAAGCGAGTTAGCATTTTAGCAGTTCCGGTTCCTTTGTCCCAAAGTCAATAGGTATTTTTAATGGGATTTCGGTTAAATCTCTTAAATAAGGTTCTAGGCTAACACACTCAAGATACTTTCACGTTTTACATCTACGACATACACATCAGTTACATCACACTCTTGATTTTTTTAATCAGTTATGCTTCTTTAAACAGACGGTTGCTATCAAGTTGCTAAATCGGACTACAAGCGGTGTCGGAGACGTTATACGTCATCGAGCTGATCTGGTCTGGCTTTGGGCATTTGGTTTTGTCTGTGCTTTAAATATTTTCATGAATGGTATTTTATAGTTTGTAGTGTTTTTCTAATTGGAAATTCATAGTGTGTGTAGATAATTGCTTCACTTGAAAAGACCGTCGAGACAGATTCATTTGTTGATCATTTATTTTGATTAAACAATATTATGGGGATACTGCACCAGTGCAGCCTGTCTCTTTCCTGCTCTCAGTAATGCAAACATGTGAATAAATGTGTAAAAAATATATACATTTTAACTGTAATTTTAACGTCATCACTAGATTTTTCGTCGTTTTTTTTCTTCATCTGAACACATTTAACTCTGTCATAACTGCAGTAGTTACACTCCTCCGTCTTCCTTAAAAGATTGATAGCAGATGTGACTGTATGAGCTGCTTTTCGTTGTACTTTATATTGAATGTTGTTCTCAATCCATGATGGATCTAGCAGGCATATAGACTTGTCATTCACACCTCATTCCTATCGTTTGTTACTAAGGTAAGCAGGCTGTGTACACGTGAGCAATACACTTATTTAAATATGTCTTATGATAATATTATGTAGGCACACTTCTACATACAGTTTTAAAACTTTTACAACAACTATAAAGCAAAACAAAATGTATTTTCAACGTAAAAAACTATCCAAAAGGCACGTAGGTCTGTGTTTTTGTGTATTTTTTTGTTTATAATAAAGAGTTTGGATTATAATATAATAAACCGAGAGAGTAAATCTTTATCATTGACCATATTTTAAAAAAAAAAAAAAAAAAGAAAAAGCTTGACAAGTTGTCTATAGCAGGGTGGTGCTGACGTCACAGGCAAACGCCCTGAAGACGCTGTAGTCCACTTATAGCCTAATGTTAGCTTTTCAATTGTTGCGTTTGCATTTAAGATCCAAAAGTGCTGAAGTTGTATTTTCGTGCGAGGATTATCCGGCTGGACAAAGTGTAGAAGTGTAATGAACAGTGTTTGAACACAGAGCTTATTATTTGCAATCTTCGAAAAGCCTATGGGAAAATCCTATAAGGATTTTATCGAGGGAACCAGTTTTATGCTAGCAGCTGATTAGCCTACAAGGTGACATCAAAGTTCCTCTACTCTATTAGTATAGCTGATTAACCATGTGAATGGATGATAACAGTCTTCTGTGCTTACCAGTTGGCGTAGAAGCCCCCTACTGGCCCATATCTATCAGCTGATAACCACTGATAACCCCCATTCATTCAAATGATAACATTTGAATCGGGTGCATCCCAAGGTTCAAAACCTTCATGAGTTTCTATCTTCTGTTGAACACAACAGAAGAGATTTTATTTTTGTAAACTGGTAACCATTGACTTCCATAGAGTTTGTTTTTACTTGGAGTCAAGGGTTAAATGATTTATTTAACATTCATCTGTGCTCAACAAAATAAAGGAACTCAATGGATTGGAACCACTTCAGGGTGAGTAAATAGTGCACTGTAAATATTACATGATCAATCAGTCAACATATGTTTTTAGTTCATTGTAACTTGGTAAACTTGTTCTTAATCAAGTTAATCATCATGTTCTAACTTAATTTTGTAAGTTTTAAATCAGTTTAATATAATACGAGTTCAAATGACTCCTAAGGTTAAATTGATTGAGCTTAAAAATGTATGTCAAGCAGTATTGTTTTACAGTGACATGCAAGTTTGAATATTGCATGTCGATTTTGTGTAACACAGTGAATGCAAAGTATCTGTTCTGTAATTGAACTAATTAAATGCTTTATATTAAATCTTACTAAATGCATCATGTAAAATGCATGCCAGAAAAAGCAGAAGATATATACACTTCTGATAAGTTAACTTGCCTTAAAATTAAATTTCTTTTTCCTTTCTTCAATTCAGCCATGACTGATGCTGCAAATTATGAAGTGTGTGTGTATAGAATGATAAAGAAATCATTTTAAATGCATATGTTTAACTTCTGTCAAAATATATCAAGAAAATGAGTGAAACGATGCACTAATACATACAAATAATTCTTCATGCTATAAATAATGAACAAATAAATGCATGTGTACATGTTTATAAATCTTATCACATGAAAATATAGAAGGTGTATTCAGTGCGATTGTGTAATGTTTCAAATAATGTTTGTCATTAAAAGAAATGTGTAAAAACTCTATATTTTGCTACAAAAATAAAACTTCAATTACAAACTGTTTGGATTATTATTATTATTAAAGGATCAAAACACCCTGAAGCACTTTTTTTTTCTTGGAGATTTTAACAGATTTGTGTATGTTGAGCATCAGTTAAGACAATGTTAGCACCTGTCAGCTTTAATTGTGGGGAAAACTGGATAATTTTAAGATTTTGTCGGCTAATTTCATCATCCGGGTTTAAAATCATTTTTGGGGCGGGATCAATCGGTGACGTGGCGTCAATGGAGCGATGACATGTCGGTTTCTTATTATTGTTCATAGCAGAGTTTTCTTATCTTACCGTATGAGAAGAGCCTGCTTCTTAATTGATCAAGACTGCACGTGCTTACTGAAGGCAAGGCAGACCTGCCAAGCTGTAAGACCCAATGACTGAGTGAGACAGCATCCGTGCATGGCAAGCCGTATTTAGCCATTTATAAAGGGTCATAACGTTATTTGTTTCCATGATCCACGTGGATTAATGCATGTGTTTCCTCGCAATGCTGTCAGAGCCGATACAGCAAAGCTGTTGTTTTGCAGCAAGCATTTTTGTCGGAAGAGCTGTACGAGAATTGGAGAATGGCGGATTTTGTCTTTTATCGGTTGAGTTCGTCACCATTCAGACACATCGCCTATATCTGTGTTGCTGTGTTCACCTATGTTTAAAATGTTACAGATTACCGGCAGGGTTAATAGTTGAAAAAGATAGGGCATAAGACCTGCTGCACTACTATACACTGTGTCTGCATTCAGACCCGAGGATTCTGGAAGAGAGAAGTCCTCCTCATTTATAGGGCCCTATCTTACACCCAGCGCAACGCGGCACAAGGCATGACGCAATTGTTGTTTGCTAGTTTCAGCTCGGCGCTGAGCTGAAACTAGTCGTTTTGACGTGTTGCAGCACGCTGTTTGAATAGCAAATGCATTTGCGCTCATATGCGCGCCCATAGGCGTTCTGCTCTAAAAAAGGAAGTGTGTTAAGTCGCATTACTGGCGTGTTGCTATCTTAGTTGCATTAGTTGTGCGCCTCGCTTAAACATTGTTTTATACACAAAGGATGTACAGCAATATGCAAATATCTTTACAAATTAAAACGAATTAAAGGATTAAAATATTACAAAAATTATTATTTTTTAGCCTACATAAATATAAAACCACTGCCTCCATGCCTTCTTCATCTCAGGAGGCTTTTTTAGTTCATTCATAACAATTTGCATTTGTATAATGTTTTTATTATTAGCAGTATTATTTGTTATATGCATATTTAAATTTGTTTTATTAAAAACAAGCTTAGATTTGCCCACCTTTCAGGTTTTAGACCATATGGGGCACAGTATTTCGATATAAATCAGTTTTTTGAATACACTTCATTATTATGTGAGCTAACTTTCAATGGCTTTCTGACATATCAGCTTATTTTATTATTTTTCTCTTTTATAAGATTTGCACACGTTGGCTCATTTTACTGAATTAATGCAGTGTTGGAGTTTTCCCACAGCCAATTAATTAGTTTGGTGAGACTACAGATAAGAAAAGTGTAATTAATAAGTCATTTTCCTTCTGAGAGGAATAATTCACCCCAAAAATTAGAACCACCTCCTAACTTATTCACCCTCAAGGCATCCTCTGTGTATTTTTGTTACAAAAAAACATTATCTTGCCT